CGGGACCCGGGGCCGGACCCGGAGCCGCCCCCGAGAGGGGCGGGAGGGACCGACCGGGACCGACCCGCCCCGTCCCGCCCCCAGGTGCCACCCAAACACCCCTTTTATTCAACGAGCAACCCGCCAGCTTTAAAACGCACCGTATAAAACCATCACCGGTAGGAACGGCAAAGGAAAAAAGAGCTCGGGTTTGTGGTTGGTTTTTTTTTTTCCTCTCCCCCGACACAGGAATTGACCCAAAATAATCAACTGCCCCCCCCGCACCCCCCTGTGCCAGGGGAGGAGGATTTCAAGGCTCAAACATAAAAGGATCACGTTAGCAAGATTTCTCTTCCCCCAAAGCTGCTCCTGCTGGGCAGCCCGGGAATTATTATTATTATTAATTATTATTATTACTATGATTATTGCTTTCCTGGTACCCAGCACCCAGGCCGAGGGAGCAGGGAGCGCCTGCCCGGGGCTGCAGCCCCGCTCTGCAAACCCAGGCAGGGGGGGAAAAAGTGCCTAAAAGTGGTAAAAGTCGGAGGGAAGCCCGAGGGGCCCGGCAGCACAGGGAGAGGGGGTGCTGGGGGGCAGGGCTGGGTGCAGGAGAGTGGCCTTTTGCTCATCCTGCATCTGCGGGAAAAGCTGGGATGGGCAGAGGAAGGGAGGGAGGGTGATAAGGTGCAGAGCTGAGCAGGCTGGGTGCCCTGCCAAGCCAAGGGATGGCCTCCTTTCCCATCAACTAGGAGACAAATCCTGCACTGAAAGCTCTTTTCTTCCCCAAAGCCACCTGAGGAGGGGCTCTGGGGATGGGCTCCCAGCAGCACATCCCAGCCCAACCACAGCTGGGATCAACCACCAAGGGACAACGTCTTTGAGCCCTTATCTGTAGAATAAGGATGGGTAAAGACAACTGGCCTGGTTGCCAAGTTTCTGCCCTTGCTCTCTGATAGCTGCACGCCCCATGGTAAGGCGAAGGTGAGACAGGTGCTGCAAAGGAGTGTGGCCATCTAAGGAGCCTGTGGGAATGCTCCTGCTGAGGTGGGACACTGCCTGGTGGCCTTGGGGCAGCTGTGACTCCACAGAACACCCAGCTTCCGAGGCAGAGCAGGCTGGAGGAGCAGGGCTGCACAGCCAGGATGCCATCCTGTCCACCTACACCGCCTGGGCGCAGCCACACACACCCCAAACCCACAAAAGGGAGGAGGATGATGATGATGAATACCTGAACGTTGAGAGGAAGGGGACAGTGCAACAGCCTGGCTCCTTCCAGATGAGCTGAGAGGGTGAAAGTTTAACTTAAACCCTGCACTAAAACCCTGCACTACTGTGGGTTTCACAGCTCTGGTGAAGCCAGATGCTGCTGGTACCCCCTGCATATCCCCACATGGGGTTTTTTCACATTCCTGCCGAGTCTGAACCTGAATCTGGGGCCCAAGTCCTGGCCCCATTCTTCTCCCCCAGAATCCAGATGAGGGAAAAGCAGCACTGCTTGTTCCATGGGGCGAGAAGCTCCAGAACCCTGTGGAGACAGTGGCCAAGGGCCCAGCAGTACCCACTGAGATCTGCTCTCTCCCTCCCCATCAGCACCAAGGGCAGATGGCAGCATTTGCCCCCAGATCAGAAGAAATCCATTCCTTTCTTGGGATCAAATGCTGTTTGCAGGATGGCAGAGGAAACCCCCATCCCACAGCCCTCTGCTAGGACAGGGTGTGCCAGGAAGAGCCCAGAAGCCCAAGCCCTGGCTCTGGCTCAGTGTGGGCAAAGCCCAAGCCTGATGGATGCAGCAGGAGGGGAGGAAGGGTTGGCGATCTCCCCCAGGGCCATGGGGAGGTGAGGGACAGGCTGTTCTTTGATCTAGAACCATGAAGAGCCTGCCCCATCCCAGCAGAAAAGCAGAGGTGGCCTCAAACTTGCCTTCACAAGACAAGCCCACCATCTTCTTCTTTAACCCTGGTCCACACTGAGCTCTCCTGGCCAGTGAATGAGCATGTAAGAGGATTTCCAACGTGCCCAGGTGAGGAGCAACCTCACCAGCACTCCCCCTCTGCCACCAGGAGCCAGGCAGTTTCAGGTCACAGCATAGAGCTCCTCACGGTCATTCTGGCAGATCTGATAGCGACAAGTGAGCTTCTGTGACCAGGCCCAGGGCTTCTTATGCTTGTCCCGAGGAGGAAGCAGGAAAGCAACGCTGGAAGCCACCAGCGTGTGCCAGATGCTGTGGGTGTAGTAGTAGTTCTCATTGGTTTCCATGAACGCGTACACAGAGATGGCGATGAAAGCCAAGGTGATCCCTGGGAGGAGGTAGAAGACCCAGCGCTTCCAGGAGGAGGGGTAGCAGCCTCTGCGCTTCACTCCGTGGTAAACCTGGAGGTGAGAGAGCCCAGAAAGGCTGAGCAGAGCAGCAGAAGACAAGGCAGGGGGAACCAGGCAGCGCTGCCTGGCCCAGGAGCATCTGCCAACCTCGCAGCAAGGGGCTGTGCCTTCTGCCCCCCTGAAACTCAGCCTCCCCCACCTTGGGCTCATCTCTTGTCTGCAAGAGCTGTGGCAACCAAAGCCCAGCACAGGTGGCACAGCTCCTGCCCAAGGCACAGGCAACAACTGACTGTCCTGGGACAACGCTGAGCTGGACTGTGTGAGACCCATCACTAGGGGATTTCTCAGCTATTGAAGGGATGGAAGGTGAATCCCTCACCGTCCCCTCCCTCCACCTGAGTGTTTTGAGGAGATCAAGCCTTCTGTGTGGACGGGCTGGAGCCTGGGGTCTGCTCTGCCACCATCACTCTCCAGGGAGGGGCTGAGGGCAGCAGGTCCTGCCTGCCCACCCATACTTACCCATGCTGCAATCATGATGATGAGGGCAAAGAGGCAGGGACCCATCATGTTCCACACCCCGCTGCGGTCCAGCTGCAGGGACATGGCAATTAACAGGGTTCCCAAGAGGAAAAGGACCTGGGAATGAGACACCACCACTGTTGTCAGCAGCTCACCTGTTGCCAGAGCACAGCCAGCCATGCCAGTGGCAGGGAGGACCTCACCTCCTGGCCACCCAGCCCTGGAGCACTCAGGGCCAGCACCTTCAGGAGAAGAAACCAGAAGGCCCACAAACCCTTTCCACAAATCTCAGTCCCTTCAGTCCCAGGTCCTTCAAGCACGCAGGTTCACCATCCCAACCCCAGTGACAAAACAACCCACTGGCTTAAAGCTCAGAGTGTGAGTTGAGTGACAAACAGGTTTTGTCACCAGACAGGGCTGTGTCATTGGAATGCAGCCAGGAGAGGGCTCAGCACGGCCACCTGTGGCTTGGCTGGCTTGGGTA